AACAACTGGGTTTTAGGCAATGGCTAAGCTAAGGCTATCTGTGTAGAAGTGAGCTACAGATATGCTGGGGAAAGGAATGCTTTCAAATTCCAACTATAGAAAGTGCGTGGTTGAATCAGTGCTGAAACCCAGGTTTTGAGAAGCATGTTGGCTGACTAGTGGCAACCAGAGGAGGACTGGAAGTTGGGGAGAGACAGGGGATCCATGGTACATCCAATACAATTGAACAATGTGAGACAACTAAGGGAGATGTCTTCAAACATAAGAACCACCAACACATGCTAGGGGGAGAATTATTGCATGTGCTCCGGAGGGAAAGATTAGGACCGATGTGTGGAAGTCACAAAGAGGAAGGTTGTGATGGTTAATTTCATGTGTCAACTTAGCTAGGCCACAACATCCAGACATTTGGTCAGATGTGGCAGCGAAAGTATTTGTTAGACTAAAACAAATGACCCTCCACAATGTAGGTGGGCCTTATCCAATCAGTTGAAGGGCTCAAGAGAAAAAAAGGCCAACTCCTTCAAGGAAGAGAAAATTTGGTCTCCAGGCTGCCTGTGGACTCAAACTGCAACACCTGTTCTTCCCTGGACCTTGGACTTGCCAGCAGCCCCCGTACATACAGAGATGTGTATGTTTCCCATAGGTTGTTTCCCTGAAGAACTCTGATACAGAGATATGAGGTCAGCATAAAGAAAAATCTTTCTAACCACAAGGGCTACCTCAGGAAGCATTCAAGCCAAAGTTAGACAATACCTGTGGGGGATGCGGGAGAGAGGATTCCTGCACTCGGCAGGTAGAAAGATGAAATGTCTAAATTTCCTTCCAACTCTCAGACCAAGCGTAATGGCAATAACCAGCTTACCTGGCAGAGGGAAATGTTCTGATAAGGCTTGGCCTCGGCGTGCAGGCGAGCCTTAGCTTCTCGCTTGTCGCCATGCACCAGCAGGATCGGCTTCTTCCTGCAGAGGCCAGAATGTGTGAAATTCATCATTCACAGAGCGGGACTCTTGAATGATCTTCTCTGATTAATTCAAAGTGAGATAATCCTTAGAAGTCAATATACCTTTACAAGCACAACCAACAAAACAAAAATGGGATTTTTATTCAAGGAACAATCAAGCAAGATGAACAAAGGTAGCTACTTCCACATGAATCAATCACGGTGCAGAATGATTCTCTACCATAGTGAAGGGCAACATGCAACTAAAAAGAAACATTATAGAAAATGCACTTCCAGTACAAGCACCTAGCTACCTAATCCCCAAGAACTTTATAACATGTTAGTTCAAATAAAACTAAGAAACCACACCTTCGCAACTTTTTTCTATTTTACAACTAGAAATAAAAGACAGAGAACAAGGTAAGAGAAACTCAAACAGCTACCACCTAGGAATAATTAGTGTTATCAGATCATCAGGACTTTCTTAAAAATAAAGAGATTAACCATTACTGACAGAAGTTAAATCTCCATTAACTCCTTCAAATTTATTGGTTCCATAAACTGTCACAAAAAGGCTGTGATGGTTCATTTTATGTGTCAACTTGACTGGGCCATGGGGTGTTCATATAAAACATCATTTCTGGGTGTGTCTGTGAGGGTGTTTCTGGATGACAGGGGCCTTTGAATGGGTGGACTCCAATGTGGGGGGCCTCATCCAGTCCACTGGCAGCCCAAGGTAGAAACAAAAAGTGGAGGGAGAATTTGTTCTCTTCCTCTTGAGCCAACTGCCCATAATAACTCTCCACATACTGTATCTCCCATTGGTTTTGTTTTTCTGGAAAGCTCCTCTATGGGCAGTATCTGAATGACGACATAAGGCAGTACAATCTCCAAGATCAGAATTTCTCTCTGTAAATTCCGGATGTTGCCTTAACTTGACATTTAGGTCCTTCCTCCTCCTTACAGCTCCTGATGGCTGGCATTCCCCAGGAGCACTGAGCAGCAACTGGGTGTGGGGAGGAAGGACTCTTCCGTCCCCGATCAGTTATGAGAGTCCAGGGGGGTACCGGACAAGTTTGTTTGGGGGAGGGGCATAATAAAGTGCCACAAACCCGGGGGCTTAGAAACAGGACTTGTCTCTTGGTTCCGGAAACAAGAAGGCTGAGAGCAAGGTGTCAGCAGGGTTGGTTCCCTGTGGGGCTGGGAGGGAAGGGCCTGCTCCAGGCCTGTCCTAACTCCTGGCGGTGTTCTCCCTGTGTCTTCGCTCTGTATGTGTCTGTGTCCAAATTTCTCTTTCTTATGAGGACACCAGTCACATTAGAGTAAGACCCGCCTTAATGACCTCATTTTGATTTGATTATCCCCCCAAAAAGCTACTTCCAAATAAGTCATATTCTGAGGGACTGCGGGGGTTGGAACTCCAACAGATCCTTGTTGGGGTGAGACAATTCAACCCGTAACAGATACACAAGGAGTTGTGGTCTATACTTTGGCAACACTTGAAAGGTGTGGCAATTCGATTTCAAGGTCTTTGAGAAGCAAAGGGACGAATAACGAAAAGGTGCCGGTGCAACTAACAGGGACGTCTACGGCCAGGAGCCCATGCAGACGCTCGCTGCCTCCTGAAGTCCGTTCTCTCCTTTCCTAACAAATCCCGACCGTAGTCAGACAGGGTGTGCTCAGCTAAACTTCATTTACAGCCTCTTTCAGAGCCAGTCATCCTGTGACTGCCGCTCAATGAAATATAAGCAGGTGTTCAGTGGGACTTCAGGAAGGCCGCTCAGAGGGGGCCCGGCTGGGACGTGGCCCTCTCATCCTTCTCCCCTTTCTCCTTCCTGCCACCTGGAACACAGACCGGGGATCCGGAGCTCCAGGTGCCATCCTGGGCCTCAAGGTGACTCTGAGGACTAAAGTCACACGTGGGGGCGGCAGGACAGAAAGACGGATGGGCTAATTCTCTGAGAACCATGACGGCCCCCAATCCAGGCCCTTAAATGTCTACCTTGTGGACTTCTTAGGTTGGAAAAAATTTTTCTTTCTTGTTTAAGCTGCCATTATTTTGGGTTTTCTGTCACATGTAGCTAAAATGAATGCTATGGGTCACAGGCCAAATACAAGCCCTTGAGTGCCAGCGCCCTGGGAAATGTCAATGGTATTTCACCTACTGTTAATGATGGTTTCCACCATCTGGTTCTGAAATGAACCCAGGACTCTGAGGACCTGACAATCATTCTTCCTGTGTGCGCATTCCTCGGCCTTACTTGCTGTTATGGAGCCTGCCATGTAAATAAATGTGTTAGAAACCAGGATGGCGCACATCACTGTGTGATGCTATTCAGTCTGTATTGCTGGACCCCAGGCTGAGGAACTCCAGGAGACAGACTGAAATCCATCACCTCCATCACCTGAGTAAGGGAAGGCGCTGGGACCCCTTTATTTATTTATTTATTTTATATTTCTTTATTGGTTTCAGAGAGGAAGGGAGAAGGAGAGAGAGATAGAAACATCAATGATGAGAATCATTGATCGGCTGCCTCCTGCACGCCCCCCACTGGGGATTGAGCCCGCAACCCAGGCATGTGCCCTTGGCCGGAATCGAACCTGGGACCCTTCAGTCCGCAGGCTGATGCTTTATCCACTGAGCCAAGCTGGCTAGGGTGACCCCTTTATTAACTCAAACTACAAGGAGAATCATTTAGGAAGTGATTCTCAGAACAGTGTTGATGTGCCAAGTAACGCATGGCACGCTGGCCACGTGTGGGCATGCTCACGGGGCTAGGCAGCGGGGGGAGGGGACAGGGCAGTGCTCTTTTCCTTCACGCTAACACTGAACACAAAGTTCTCTTATGTGGGATGGAAGTTGTCCTGATCTACTTCTGGACAGAGAAATGGAGGAAAATGGTCAAATCTGTGTAAGGAATACAGGTGATTAGCTAGAATAGAAAAAAAAATGCTGTTTTCCGAATGTTTGTATGATCAGGATGGTTTCAAAGATGTTCAACGAAGATGGCCGGCAGCTGCCTGAGAAGACAGATCTTGTGTTTTAATGCCATCCAGCGTCCCGGGGACTCACCTGAACTCTCGTGGATACTGTCTTACGAGCCAGTCCACGTCAAAACAGTAGTTAAACTAGATGGGGGGAAAGAAAAGCAAGTCAGTCACGGGGGACTTAGCCAGGAAGTCTATACGGAGAGCTGGGTGGTTATTTGATTGAAAGAAACTCTAAAATAATGATGAACTACATGTTTTATTTATAAGCCCAGACAGTTCTGCCACAATACTCATAAACCAACCTGCGATACGCCTTGAAGGGAACGCATGGCCCAGGGGGGTCTGAATCAATGGAATGTGTGAGAAAGCAGGTTCGAGGGCAATTATGTCTGCGTGTTTGGCGGCATTTGTATTTGCTATTTCTGAGGGATCTCTGATTAATTTAAACAAAAGGGCTTATAAATGTGTCCCTTTCCTCCTTGGTGATTATAAAAAGGACTTTTAGAAGAAACCATCCGCTTTCAGCCCAACTTAGGAGCTAGCCTTGCAAACAGGCATTTGGGACTGGACGTTCACTAGGCTTACAACGATTACAGCTGAACCCCCAGGGTCTGCACTGGACTTACCCAGGGGGGCTCCTCCCCACACCTGAGTGGTCCTCCACCCTCCTGGACAGAGTGACTCGATCACCCCGAGGTTTTATCTGGAGGCCAAGCCAAACATGAAAGGCGCAGAAAGCTTTGCTTTCTTCAGGGAAGTGACCTTTTTTCCTGATTATTTACTTGACACTTTGGAGCATTAAAGTGACTTGTCAACACAAAGGGACCAGCTCCGTTCGGCAGGAGCAACCACACATGCAGAAAGAAGCAGCAATAACTTTTAGTCACTTTTGTTGGGTAGGTGCAGGAGATGTCTTACTTTTCTCAATCAGACTTGACTTGGCTTTCACCTCTCCACCCACAGCTGTTTGGGGGTCGCACCAGAGTGCCATGAGATTATCAGTGTTCCCAAAACAAGTCCCTGGGGCTGAAATTTTTTTCAAAGTGACTTCTTAGCCAGTCCCTGTAGCCCCATCCAGAGCCAGGAGCCCACTGGTAGTGGCATCCCTGTTCCATGCTGGCGCTGTGGCACATGCCATCTCAGGGACCCTGCACAGGACTGAGACATGGGTTCCCATCACTCACTCCTATTTTCTCATGGAGTTGTTTAATTATCTGTCCCCTTTCATCCAAAAAAACAAAAAAACAATCGCAAACTCACCTGTGCTGAAGATACAAGTGTCCCAAATAGAGGAGATAAAATATCTGTGAAGATCAAACATTTAAACATAATTCATATTTTGAAAGACATTCTCTAGCAATAATAATCACAACTGACTTACTCTTCACTGATGCTCAAAAATTTAGTTTAGAAAACTGGGACCTGAAAAATTACTACAAAGCTAGGCTTTAGTTCCCTAACGTTCAAGAAAAAATTTCCCTGTGCTGTTTGCTAATACAGTGGGGCCTTGACTTATGAGTTTAATTCGTTCCATGACGGAGCTCGTAACTCAAATTACTCGTCTGTCAAATCAATTTTCACCATTACAATGAATTGAAATGCCATTAATCCGTTCCGGAGACCCAAAAAACACCGCAATTGTTTTGTTAAATGTTTTTAAATAAGAAAAATGTATTTAAAAATAACGAATATTGTATAAAAACACAATACTGAACAATAGAATGTAGTGCAATAAACTTGTTTTATTACGTTTAATGTACAGCATTTACCTTGGAGATCAAACGACTTAAAGATGCTGATGGAGTTGGAGGAGAAAGGCTGAACTGAATAACTGAATCTTATTTGCTGATTTTTGCCCTTTTCGCCACGCTTTCATCACTTTCATCTACAGGAGTTTTCGATACAAACCTGTCCAATGAGATCTGTTTCATCCTCCCTTTCAGAATATTTCTGAAATGAGTTAGGCAAGTGTCATTAAATACTCCATCTGGGTGTTTCTTTTGAATAAAGTCTGAAAGTTTCTCCCACATTCCCAACATTTCCTTTATCTCACTTATAGAGATAACCTCCTCCTCCGTGTCATCTATTTCCTGCAAAACCTCCGTGTGCTGCTGCGTCTGTAGCTCCTTTAGCTGTGTTGTCAGTTCCTTAGAGTGCTCCTCGATGAGCTCGTTGATGTCACCTTCCTTTATATCTGCGCTCACTGCCTCACCATGTCTGACAATGGAGTGAATGCCGGTCCTCTTTTTAAAATTTTCGAACCAGTCCCGACTGGCTTTACACGGCTCGCCCGATGCCTCGTCCATTGAAGTGCCTGGGGTCTGCTGCAGCAAATCAGCGTAAATAGCTCATGCCTTCTCACAGATTATAGCCTTCGTCACGGCATCTCCAGCGAGCTGCTTCTCCGTTAACCACGCCATTAGCAGCTTCTCCATATTTTCATGGATAGATGTCCACTGTTTAGAAATTATTTTAACGCCCTTGCCTGGAGTTGTAGCCTGTATCGACTCCTTCTGCTTCAGTATGGTGCAGATCGTAGAAGTGCTACGCTCGTACTGCTTCGCCAAGTCGATTACACGCACACCTTGGTCATGTTTTTCGATCATTTATTTAATTCAATGCACATCATCCGCTTCTTCTTCTCAGCACCGTCCTTCGCACTTACTTTCTTCAGATTCATGGTTGAAAAAACGAAGTTTTGCAAAATAACTGCAAGCACAAATGCGAGCACAACACTGATGCTTCAACTAAGAGCTAACCGCTTAAAGTGAACGAGTGAGACACGTGATGCTGGGCTGATGTTGTGGCGTTCACTGTGACATTCGCTGCGCCAACTAGCGGTGGGGTATCTGAAGCTGGCTCGTAACCTGAATTTTAGCTCGCAACTCAAAGCAAAAAATCAGCCGAGACGGATTTATGCCTATGCCTATGTTACCGAGGATGAAAAACGCGTTAGTCGGGACACTCGTAAGTCAAGGCCCCACTGTACTTATTATGTATTCTTTAATAAAATACAATGCAAAATTAAAAGCTACAACATCGATACTGGATGAGCGGTCAGTTTTAGAAGCTGCCAATAAGGACAATGATGATGCACGCTGTCCTTCTTTCCAGATCTCTGAACTTTTACTACCCTCACCTACTCCTTCAAGTCCCTCTCAAGAAACCTTCCCAACCCAGGACTAACTGGCTTCCTGTGAAGGCGAGGACAGAGGCGCCCATAGCTCTGAGCTGTGGACACCCTACTGATGCTGTGGAGTTAGCATCAGATCCCACAGGTGAAGGACTCAGTCCCACAGGACTGCCCCCACCGCAGATGCCAATCACAAGTCCAGACCTCCTGTACTTCTGACTATAACTTGGGGGTTCCCATGATCCCCTCCTCGGGTTCGATCATTTGCTGAGAAGTCTCCCAGAACTCAGGAAGGAACTTTGCTTACTAGATTTCTGGTTTATTATAAAAGGATACAACTTGGGAACAGCCTGGTGGAAGAGATACATAGGCTGGAGTGATGAAATCACTGGCCTTTAGTGATTAACTCAACCTCCAGTCCTGCTCCTCTCCCTGGAGGTGAAGGATGAGGCTGCAAGTCCCAACTCTGATCACATGGTTGGTTCACTGGGCAACCAGCCCCCATTCTTAGGGGCTTTCCAAAAGTCACCTCATTAACATAATAAACCCAGGTGTGGCTGAAAGGGGCTTGTTACGAATAACAAAACACACTTCTTTGCCCTTTAATTACTTTGTAGTTACTACTTTAGGACAAAAACCAACTATAGCCAGGGATGAAAACCAAATATATGTATAGAACAATATGACACATGCACCTCAGGGAATGATCAAAGCAACCAAAGGCCATCTTTTGGTTCAGAACGGAAACACCTATTTGCATTCTGGCATTGTCTTTTTGCTTCTTTACCGGAAACCAAAACCAGGGTTCCAAGTAGCAGTTCTCAAACTTGACTGGGCATTCGTATTCCCTACGGGGTTAGTTACAACAGGCTGCAGAGCCTTGCTCCCAGGGAATCCGGGTGGGGCCGGGAACATGCATTTACAACAGGTTTTAGGGGATGCTGATACTGCTGATCCAGGGACCAAAGAGAACTGCTGTTGTCAAGTATTTGCTTGTCATTAATAAAGTCTTATTGATCAAGTTTGATCTCTATGTTAACAGTTAAAAACAATTTTAAACATTGCACTAAATATTCCAAAGCATTGCTCTACAGGGCCCGAGAAACATCCTCTGATCTCCTAAGTGAACAGTTTGCTGTCAGCTCTGCATTTGCTGTCAAATGCTCTTTTTCTGTTTCCTGGGAGTGATTAAGTCCATGATGATCTTGCAGACCATTCTAGCTACCCTCGTGGTTTCACCCGAGGGGCCCTCTCAGGTGCAGTGACAGCTCCGGACACCAGCGCCCCGTACTTACCCTTGATGTGGAGGGCTCCAGAGTTATACTTTGGCTTAATTCCTGAGACTCTAGTGAGGTAGAATTGGAAGGGGTTCCCTTTATCCAGCATGTCCCAAATGTCCTGGCCTTCCCCGGACGTTTCGTACTCGTCTTCGTCCTCTGTGAGCGTGGGGCGGGCAGGAGGGCCATGACTTCCAGCCCTTGGGGCAGCACTTTGTGTGGGAGGGGAGACGCCTTTCTCCTCTTTGAGGGCCACTTTCTCAGGCGCCGTCAGCTGCGTCTCTGGTGGCAGCTCATCGTCACTGCTGGAGAGACACCAGCCCAGGTCTTCCTGGGAACCACTCTTCTGCTTCTTGGGAGGTGAAGCTTCTGAAACCCCATCTGTGCTGCTGAATTTCAGGGGTGACATCTTCCTCCTGTGGGCGGCTTTCCGAGCCTCGGAACAGGTGTACCTTGGCTCACAGGCTGCTTCCTGCCCAGCATGGAGGAGAGAGGTAGACGGCTTGTCCGGTTTGGGCTTCTCCTCCTCACTTTCATCACTACTGGATATCGTCCATCTCCCATAATCACCTTCCTGAGACATGATACTTCTTCTGGAAATGAAAGGTGGAAATATCGTTATTTCCCATTCCCCAGGCCACTGGCAAACTACCTCTACTGCTCTTGAACTCCCTGTCCTGTGAGTGCCTGGAACACATACAGCACACTGACACCTACCAGACGCTGAGCCAGGTAACCAACATCATCATGGGCTTAATCACTCCCAGGAAAAAGAAAAAGAGCATTTGACAGCAAATGCAGAGTTGACAGCAAACTGAACAGCTTTGCAGGTGTTCTCAGGAACATTACCAGGACCGGCTATGGAATTTGGCAAAGAAAGTGACAGCAAAAATCCTGGTCACCCTCTCTCCTCTCCCTTAGTCTTTCAATCTAGACCTCGTTCTTAGATGGGGGTTGAGTTGAGCCAAAGCCCAAAACAAAACAAAAATGTTCATTGTTGACCCTGAAGCTTCCAACTGGTCGCTGGGATTAAGGCCAATTTAAGGAATTTCAGGAGTAATTCTGAGCATGCTTAAATTTTTTTACAGTCAAATTGGAACTTACACAGCTATTCCTCACTGAAGCATGGAGCCCAAAGGACTTTAGTGATTATTTCTTACTTCCCCAAAGATAAGCTACTTACCATAATCTTAAAGCCTTCAATGATCAGACCGTCAAACATCAGAGGGAAGGTAGGGGAGGGTGAGGGTAAGGGGTAGAGATCAACCAAAGGACTTGTATGCATGCATATAAGCCTAACCAATGGACACAGACACCAGGGGGGTGAGGGCATGAGTGGGGGGGGGGGGGTAATGGGGAGATAAGGAGACATATGTAATAACTTAATCAATAAAGAAAAAAAAAGACAGTGTCAAATGATCTATTCTGTCTATACATTATCTAGAAGTACTTCCATGAGGACCCAGCTAACTTCATAATTATCTTACTGGCCTGGCCCTAAATCAAACTGCTAAAACCTGCAGAGAAAGAACTTGTACTGAAGCAAAACACTTTTACTTTGTGAACCACACCGGGTAATTTCTACTTTCTTTATCTGACAAGAGGAAAACTGATGCGAAGGGGGATGAAAATCTAAAGACATTCTCCCACCAAGTGCCAACTTGAAATGTTAGAGCTTTTATATTAAGGATTTAAACAATTTGTGGACGCAAATGAGTACTCCTCTTAAAGCTGCTAGCTCTTCCTCTCCCTCTCCACACTACACCCAGCTGGGGGAACTTCTTTAATGCTTCCAGCTGCTTCTCTTTATGGATCCTGCAGGGGTCCTCAAACTACGGCCCTCGGGCCACATGCAAATACAAATATTGTATTTGTTCCCGTTTTGTTTTTTTACTTCAAAATAAGATATGTGCAGTGTGCATAGGAATTTGTTCATAGTTGTTTTTTAAACTATAGTCCGGCCCTCCAACGGTCTGAGGGACAGTGAACTGGCCCCCTGTTTAAAAAGTTTGAGGACCCCTGCTGCAGATCATCAGGAGGGCCTGGGAGTGAGGCTCCTCAACTGAGGCCGGGTGTGGCCAGCAGTGGACAGGCATGAGCCATGATTTCAAATCCAGTCATTGCCAGGTGGTCAAGGTGCACTCATACAGGTTCCTTAACTGCTGAACCTGTTTCCTCCTCTGTAAAAGGGGTACCATACCTACCTCCCAGAGTTCATTCATTCCACAAATACTTACTGAACAGCTGCTATGTGCCAAGCACTGGGAATTAAAGTTAACCACATACAAACGGGTTCTGCCCTCGGAGGACTTATATTTCAGGGGGAAAGAAACAGACCAACACAAAAATAAACAAACAAAAAAACACCCCAAGGTATCTTTACAGGCATTCCTTACGTCTTACAGGCGTGAGACAGAATCAGGGCTGCCCTTTCTCTGGAACACTCTGAATAAGCAATATTTAAGTGAGACCTGAGGGATGAGAGGAACCCGCCGGGGTCGGGTGAAGCAGTATTCCAAGGAAAGGAAACCCAACCTGCAAAGGCCAGGAGGCGGGAAAGAGGCTGTAATCAATGCAAGAGCAGAGGGAAGCACCTGGGCAAGGAATACAATGGCCCAGGATGAAGGAGCAAGGCGTGTTCAAGACAGCGGATTTTATTCTAAGAACAAAGGGGCGCCACTGGGAGGGTTTTAGTAAGCAGGAGAGTTCCTTGGTCCAATTGACCCCTTAAAAAGTATTTCGTTCCTTCCAAGTCTGGGTGGAGAAGGGTTTGGAGGGAGACGGAAGTCGAAGTGAAGGGGCAGCCGCATGGGATCGGGATGCAGACTGATGCAGGCGGTGGGGATGGAGCGAGGGGATTCGGGGTACGTTTGGGAAGTAATAACAGCTGCTGACTTTTCTGCGCTTACCTCGGGCCAGGCACAGTCCGCAGCGCCTCACCAGGGACTAACTCATTTCCCTTTCACACGTCTACGCCGAGTACCACGACAGGTCCCATTTGTGGAGAAACTGAGCCCAGAAAGGGTTACGTGCCTGGCGGCGGGGGAACGCGCGCGCCACGTGCCCAGCTGTCACCCCTAACAGCCGAGACCATCCATGCACTCCGTGGAGCAGGGGGACAAGAACGCGCGCAGGGGGAGCCCTCACGGCCCCTCTCCCGCAGGACTCGGGTCGCAGCGCCTGCCGCTCGCGCCCAAGAGGTACAGTTACTGGAGGAAGTCGAGGCCCTGCAGGGGCCCTACCTCGTGTCTTTACGGGATGCTCCGCTTCCAGCCCCGCCGCGCACTCACGTCTTCCCGGGGTTCCGGACGGAGCAGGATCGCAGGTCCAGCGCCGGCGGCGTCCAGAGGCTTCCGAGCCCGCGGCCACTCGTTCGCTCCCCGCCACGGCCGCCGGCGCCTGCGCGCAGTTCAAACTCTACGGGACCAGCGCGCACCTCGCGGCTGCGGCTCAGCCCCTTCCACTTCCGGGACGCCCACCGCTGGGTCCTAAAGACCGCCGTGTCGACAGGGGCTGCCTGGAGTCTCCCAGGAGGTGGCGAGGGAGACCTGGCTGCTAGGTCTTCGCTCACCTCCTGGCCACTCTTCTCAAACAAAAACAAAAACAAAAAATCGGAGGGAGAAAAAGAATTGTTACCTCCCTCTATCTTAATGAGCAAAACGCATCCTATTTAGAAGGATTCTTACGGACAACCTCAGACTCCCAGGGCAGGAGGCTGGTGGTGGTGGTGGATAGATAGATGTTCAAAGGCAGAGAGAGGACCAGCTGAGGTTCGAGGCAGCTGAGGGCTGAGACCTGTCCCCCGGGAGAAGCGGGCTTGCCTGGGGCGCACATTGTGAAACCTGTTGTGAATTAAAAAGTTAAATGAGCTCCCCTGGGACTGGGACTCAAATGACTGTTTCTTAGCTGAAACTCGGGCTAGAATGCCGGGCTTGTCTCTCTCTCTCTCTCTCTCTCTCTCTCTCTCTCTCTCTCTCTCTCTCTCTCTCTCTTTCTCTCTCTCTCTCTCTCTCTCTCTCTCTCTCTCTCTCTCTCTCTCTGTGTGTGCGTGGTTTTTAATCTTTCTGATTTGCCAGAAGAAAAGGATCTAAGATAAACGCCTTTGCAAAACGCAACCCTCTCCATATTCCGTGTCTTTAATAAGGATGTTTGCTCTGGAATTTGGGCTCAGTGCTGTTTATGCTACTTATTCTCGCAGTTTTTTTCATATCAAGCTCCTCCGCCTGGGGCTTGAATGAAGTGACTTGCGTAAATGTGCTCAGGGTTCACTCGGTTCGTCTGCTTTGCGCCAGGCATCATGCTGGGTGCTGGGTGCTAGGGGTACCGAGAGGACACAACTGACCCAGGCGGGCTCGTCCCCAGTGACTTGCTGATGTGCACGCGAATCCTGGCCTTGGTTCTTTTTGTTCCGTTCCTACTATGCTTTGTTCACACTCTTTCTGTGTCTCGTGATAGTTAGCACAACGCTGTAGATCAAAATTACCAACAGTAATTTACTGCGAGATGTGGGGGCCGAGAATGAAAAAAATCGTGAGGCAGCACCCGGTTGAGCTGGCTCCCCAGCGGCGCGCGCAGAGTTAAGGGTCCAGACTGGGCGGGGCCTAGCGCCGGGGGCGGGCCTGGGAGCCTCTCCGCCATAGGCTGCTCCGGGGAAACGTTATAAACAAAGCGTTTGGCCAATAGAACTGCGGGACGGGCCGTCCAATGGGAGAAGACATTGGAGGTGCCCGGCCACTTTCAGCTTCCCGATCCGCAGTGTGCGCGGAGGGTGGTCTGCAGTTCGTCGGGGTCTGACTGCTGAGGTCGCTGCTTTGACGGTCGCGATGTTTTTCTCCGACGCCGGGGCCCGGCCACGCACGTGGGAAGCCAGCCCTTCGGAACACAAGAAATGGGTGGAAGTAGGTGTCTCGGATTTTAACTTGATTCGGAACTGCCACTTGGGTCTGACCGAGCCGCGGTGCAAAGGGACATTGTTAATGACTGAGCGTAAGGCTGCACGGCTCGGCCTCCAGTCCTGGGTTCTGGCTGCTTGTCCGTCCTTTTTCGTCTCCGCTACACAGTCCATTAAGTCATCTGCATCTCTCCTCCCGCCTTTCAAAGCAAGCCCCTTTGACTCACCTTCCTGATTCTAGGACCGAATGTTGGGTTGAAATTATCCTAGGAGTCTAAAGGAATTAACTTGTGTCAGTTTAGCGATTAAGTCGTTGGAACTCTGGAGGGGCATATTTTAGCCCAATCATGAAGATTTCTGGAGAATTAAAAGTAGGATAATGAAACTCCATTTCCGAGCCTACTGGTGGGCCGAGTTTTAGATTTTGGAGGTTCAAATGTAATATAAACTGGTAATAAAAAGAATAGAACAAACGGTTTCGGTCTGAACTAAAGATATTTAATGTTCTTTAGGTATTCAAAGCATGTGATGAAGATAACAAAGGCTATCTAAGCAGAGAGGACTTCAAAGTTGCGGTTGTAATGCTGTTTGGGTACAAGCCCTCCAAGGTACAGCTTTCTTTCTTTGGGGATGGGGCTGACAATAGACGATCCTACTGGTGAATGGATCCTGA